CTCCCTCTCTCTTTCTTCCTACAGAGTGTTTTCTGTTATGGACTACATGGGAGAGATGAGGAGATGGGTTAAAGGAAGGTTTAAGGGCAGGGTATAGGGAAATCCATGGATCAAATGGCAATAAATTAGTGGAAAGACGTCAAAGCCATGCAGAATGAGAATTCATTGAGGCATTTTATACAATATCAGGTTGGTTGGGGAAAGGTGGAGTCTCGGCCAGAGACGACACCCCCATGGACCGCCTACAAGCCATGTTTGGACAATTTAAATGTCAGTCAGATGGTCTCTTACTGTCTAAATAGATTATTCCTAACCAACATATGCTACAATGACTTGACTTTGTGCTGCAAGTCAAACATCTGGCTGCTTGACATTAAGTGGATCCTGACCTTCTATTATTTCCTAAGAGGAACAGGGGGATTCTCTACTTCCAATGGGTGTCATCTGACAAACAATCAGCTCAAATAACATTTATTTAAAGTAAAGGTATCAAGAAATCTAGTTAAAAATTAATAAAGAATACTGTTCAAAGTTGGAGGTCAGTAAGAATTTTGTAATATTTTTGAAAGAAGTGTCTTATGCTTACTGCATAAGGCTGCGTTTATTTGATCAAAAATATAGTAAATATTGTGAAATATTATTCTATTTTAATATATAAAATGTAATTTATTATAAAATGCCATTACTCCAGTCTTCATCGTCACATGATCCTTCAGAAATCATTCTAATATGCTGATTTGCTGCTCAAGAAACATTTCTTATTATCAATGTTGAAAACAGCTGTGCTGCTTAATATTTTCGTGGAAACTGATACATTTTTACTGGAATCTTTGATGAAAGAACAGAGTTTATTTGAAATAGAATTAGTTTATAACCTTATAAACACCATAAAAAAATAAACGGACCCAAAATTTTAACAATAGTGTAATTTCACTCCAAGGGATACTCTTGTATCCAATTATAAAATATTACTATTATTCAGATATATTTAATAATATATAATATTAAAATATACTGGATTATTAAATTGAGACTGACAAATTATTAATCTGAGAATGACAAAGCAGAATATTAATTTATTATTGCTGTTTTCCCACTAAATGACTACTAAACAGGGCTCTGACAATTGGCCAAAGTTTTCTGTTTGCCTGGCAGCCGTTCCAATTAAAAACACAAAGGTCAGTCATGTCCCTTCAGTCTGGCAATCAGAGACCATACTGAAGACACAGCTATATTGTGTGCCACGCTCACATCCTCAGGAGTGTGGATACCAAACATGAGCAGTTAATAGAAACAGTCTGTTCTTCCCCCCTGTTCTAAGTTTTTATAATACATTTTATAATAGTAATTTATTGTTGTAAAGTTATCAGAAAAACAGGACAAAGGGTGCCTCAATAGAGCTCATTAATCTAACATCTACGACCGACAGAGGAAGAATGCTTGTTTTTGGATTTCAAATAATAGCATACTGTAGGTACATGAGCAGTGCACACATTTTCAGTACAAAAGAGCACGAGAGTTTATTCTCCCATGTCAACCACATCATGTTTAAACAAAAGTAATGCAATAAAAAATAATAAATAAATAAATAAAAACACTGAAGTAACAGAAAAAAGGCTTTCACACAAATGGAGCTAAAATCCCAGAGGAAACAGGGGGCTTTTGGGGTTAGCATAAAGTAATGTCAATACTTCTGAGCATTTCCCGATAATGTATGAATGAATTGTCTGGTCTGTTCTGCGTGCATAATTTTGTCAGTAATGAACCAAAATTGTGTTTGTCAGAGTCTGCTGAGTCGTGCTGACTATGAGTGTCACCTCTCTTTCCTCATCTCTCCTCTCCACTTGCACTTTTGATTAAGTTGCACTTAAACACTTGGTGTTGATAAGTCATATCTCTTTTAATGGACTCTAAATGGTCTCTTGGCTTGGCAATAGGCACTGCAGGTTTGTATTTGTTCTCATGTTTGTGTAATTAGATATGAGAGAATGATAGAAAGAGGCATGTGCGCTCTGGTGTGTCAGTAAGCAAATTTAGAAGACCCTACAGGAAAGAGGAGGACATAGGAAGGAGATTGTAGGCACACTTTTGAATTTGCATGTGCTTTAGCTGGACCAGCTCGAAAAATCCAGTGTGTGTGGGTGTGTGAGAGAGAGAGAGACGTGATTTTGTCCAGAGTTAGGCTACGCTACACATTTTATTTGTGTATTTAACATTAAATGATCTAACAACAAACTGCATTCACCACAAGCGCAGGCGGAGCGCCTTCAAAAGAATGCAGAGAAGAAGCCTATTCTCAGAGCCGATCCTCCCTATACACAAAGTACGCAAGCTGCGTAGGACCCCTGAAACACCAGGGGGCCCCCTTGCTCTCAAAGATGATTTAATTTTAGTTTCGTTTTTGAATTTGGGCAGCGGTTATGAAAACCGCTTATGTCATTTATTTTAATGCGGTGCGCTGTCACACTTTCTACGTAAGGACAAAGGCGTTTCATTCATTCATAACTCGTCATTCATAACCCCCCCCCAAACATAGTTTTGCGTAGGGCCCCCAGAAGTCTAGGATCGGCTCTGCCTATTCTAACATTGTGTCTGCACCGAACGTGACAGTTGTCGTGCCGTGCCGCAACAGCTAAAGTCTGTCTACACTGGACGCGACAAAGCCTGACCGATCATCGAACTGATTAAAATAATGTTCGAATGAAATCAAATTGACATAAACGAAAAATCATAAGATTTGACAAAATGTGATGTTGGACTAATTTCACGAGTTCACACTTACATATAATTAAATAAAGGTTATGCGTATTTGGCAAGACTCCCGAGCCCGGGGCACCCTCCCCCTGTCCGGGGAGAGGGGTCCGAGCTCGGTGTCCAGCCCGGCCCAAAAGCGCTCCCCCAAAAGCAATTAGAACAGGACAGCAGCCAGATACGTGCATTTACGACCCCCCAAAAAGCAAGGCTTAATGTTAGAGGGGTGCTGGACGTCCTTTGGTATACGTTTATTGCAGCAGTATCTAGGAAGATAATTTGGCTTCTGTGGAAGCGTTCATTGCTGAAAGAGAGAGATAAAGGCTCCTGCGAGAGACGCAACTATCGCGGCAGTAGAGAAATACAGAAAAGGCTCCTATGGGAGCAGACACTGCTGCGGCAGTGGGGAAATACAGATAAAGGCTCTTGCGGGAGCAGACACTGCTGCACATTAATTATGCATGGTGCACGCAGTTAAAATAGTTTTGCCATTTATGTGCTCTTAATTTCTAAAAAATGAGTGAAAAAATAAAATTATCAGGGGCACAAGGCAGGAAGCGACGCAAAGAAGAGGAGCAGAAAAATATCAATATAGAGGTAAAAATCACAAGTTAACGACTGTGTATATTAGCCCGTGATGTTTATGTAGTATTTTGAAATAGCCTTTTTAGAACATCTTAACTGGCAACACGACACGTTTTTG